GTGGTAAATACGTGTTAATGATGTTTGACGTTTGATATTTGATTTTTGAGGTTCGGAATGTTAAGATAATTACAAGTAAAATTGGGTATCGGTTTCACAATTCGCACTTAATTTGTCTATTGTGTTTTTAAATAAAAAAAATAACAAAAATTCGTTTTTTTGATTTTCTTTTCAAAGAAAAAACGGAAATTTCTTGAATTATTTCTGAAAATAAAATTCTCTTTCAAAACGTTGGTAATTTTTTTAAAAAGTATTTTTGTTTAAAAAACGTAAAAATAAAGAAAATTGTTTAGTGTTTAGAGGTAGATACGAGTTTTTGTACTTTACATTATTTGTTTCACAACAAAACAATGAAAACGATATTTACATTAATTTATCATATGGCAACCCTGTTTTTTTTTGTTTTCATTTGTTATAGGTTAGGTATTGAATCGGCGCCATCTTGAAAATAAATGTAGATGGCGCGCGTGTATTTGGCTACTTTTTTCGTTAGATAAAAAAATATATCTGTCAAGAGAATATAGAGTGTATATCAGTGTAGGCTTAGAATTTCGAGGTTAGAAAGTATCGTATTTACAATTGTTTTTATATACAGAGTGTCACACAATACAAAAATGTCTAATAAATTGATTATTATGCAATTATGCAACACTCTGTATAATATATCATCTTAACGTTATTGTATTGTACTTAAGTATAATATAATCCACTTATATTCATATTGAATGCAATAAATTTTGTTTTTTTGTTTAAATCTGTTTATGTTGTTATTATAAGTAATTAATGAATAATTACATCAATAGGTGTAAAACTGTTCCCCACGAATGCTTAGATGCTTAAAATTGTACTTGAATTCATTGTAATTAATAATTAATTAGTAATAATTTATAACTATTTCTTGAATTATTTTTGAAAATAAAATTCTCTTTCAAAACGTTGGTAATTTTTTTAAAATTATTTTTGTTGAAAAAACGTAAAAAATAAAGAAAATCAGTGAAAAAACATGATATAAAAGCAATAAATCTACTTTAACCCTTAATAATAAAGGGATGAAAGTGACCAAACAACAAACCAAAAGATTACCTTCCTCTAAAAGATCTCTAAACACTTTTAAAACAAAAAAAAAAATCAAAAAAAAAAACAAAAAAAAAAAAAAAAAAAAAAAATTTTGCGTGTAATTAACCAACTATAAACTTATAAATAAAAACAAATAGTGCCCCGGTTTGCAACAATACCACGCGTGTATATTTTCACCAGTCAGTATTCTGGGAATAGTTGTAAAGACGTGTTACGTTGAAAGGATGCGTGAGCAGCGCAGAATCACGAAAATACGAACCGCCGGTGATGTCGAACGCGTTGTAAACCCGTCTAGTAGGACAAGAAGGACCCGAAGAAGGACTAGAAGAACCTAATGGTACTTACATGTTCGCTGCTTCGCAGGAATTCACGACGTTCACACATCCACGCGATATACTCGTACTACACAGAATAATCCACTTCAACACGGCTCAAATCGCTTCAAATCACTACAAAATCCAGAAAATGCTTCAACTTACAATTTAAATTTTATTAACGGATTAAAAACAAACGAGTAACACCGCACGCGGTCAAAACACAACTGAGAATAATACGTGAATAATATCAGAGGTGAAAAGAATGTCAACAATCAACACAACTCGTTTTTATCACAATCACAAGTTGAAGTTGAAACATGTCTCAATGTTATTTACAAGTGAAATAAAATAAAACTAAATAAAACTAAATTTAAAATTATACTGCAAATCATGCCTTATGTTATTCACCATTATTTAAACCCTTAAAAACCCATTTCCACGCAAAAATAAAATTCTAGCGGTTTCTACCTATTCAACGCCAAATTCTTTTTATTCCACTCGTGCCCTTTTTACCTCTTCAGCGTCTTCACCCACCGGTGCTTCTTTTTTGCTATTCGCTATAAAATAATGACGTGCACATGTCGATGCACGGCTTTCCATTTTCTTGGAAACAGTTACGACACACCGACCCCGTTCGAGAGAGCGGCAACAAAAAAAAAGGGGAACGGGATCACGATGTGCCGTTTGCGACACAACACCAACAACGCACAATACCCAAAAGCAAACCTAAGAGGTTGAGTGTAAGGGTAAGAGTATACTACGTATACTACATGTGGTGAGAGAGGTTTTTTGGCCCAGTTACACACATGGCACATATTTACAGCGTGGATACGAATGGCACGCGTGTGCTAATGTCACTATCTTAACCCACAAGTATAGTAAAATACAGGCACGTATTAAAAAAATAAAATTTTTAAGTAAAAAGTAGGTTATAATAAAATTAACCAACATAACCTAAAATTTTATAGAAAAAACTTGTTTTTTGAGGTTAAATCCATGTTTTTTTTAATATAAAAAACAGGCACGTATTAAAAAATTTAAATTTTACTTTTTTTATCAAAATGACCTAAAATTTTACATTTTTTAACTAAAAAATTGTTTTTTAGGTTAAATTCATTATTTTTTAATGTAAAAAATAGGCACGTATTAAAAAATTAAAATTTTAACGTTTTTTATGCATTTAAAACAAGGTTATGTTAAGTTAAAGCAACATAACCTAAAATTTTATAAGAAAATTTGTTTTTTGAGGTTAAATCCATGTCTGTTTAATGTTATAACACACGTGATACAACACATAAACGTATTTCTTCGCTTGCATAGAATTTCAACGAAAGCAAACGACACACACGACGACATTTTATTATTATGGCTACTATTGCAAAATGGCGGATGTGATATAAAAAACACGATAAACATAACTCTTTACTCCTTAAAATGTAATACTACCAGTTGTTCGATACTTATACCGCAAGTCAAAATTTAAAAAAATAGAATTAAAGGTAATAATGAGCATAAATCACAAGTGAATTAATAAAATAGTATATTATTGACATAAAATGGTACACCATCCAATTGTTGGTACTTACAAGGATTCATAAAGGTCGTAAATTAAAAAATATCCATCACATTCAACAAATAGATTTCTTTCTGTTTGGTAATTTAATTATCTTAATCTTCGAATTTTGTAAAATGTTTTTGTTTGGCTTTTTGTTTTCGGTTTCATGTGGGAATCCCAATCAGTGTACGCGTAACCAAAACTTTTTTCGGTGTTTCTTTAAGGGTTCGTATACGTTCACAAACGGATTACATTCGACATTGACATGGGGATGTAATAATTAGATAATAAGACAATTCGGTAATATCTAATACGCTTAGTATTCGAGTATGAAATCGATAAACGTTTATCTCTCTGTGTGGCGCTCTGAATAATTCATAATAACCTGTTTCGTGTACGTTCGTGTACGTTCGTGCAGAGTGGGGGTTTTAATTTTAGGTTATGTATTATGTTACATCTATATTTTGTAGTTTTTTGTACTTTTGAGGTAGAATTCCACTTGTTTTACTTGATTATTTGAGTCACATGCGTTTTTTTTCGTTTTTCGTTGAACATACAGAGTGTTACAAACATTTGTATTATCTCCACTTATACATTTATAGACTTTTAGAGTAAACGACAATTTCGGGTGGTAATTTATGTTTCTTTTGGCCAGGGTTTTACAATATTTAACATTTCACATTTAATTATAGCTTGTTATCCTAATAGACTTTTTGTATTCAAGAAGGTTTTAAAATTTTTGTTTTAATCATGAAATATTCTGTGACCTGAAAAGTCTTCGTATTCGTATATTTTTCCATTTGTTTTTAACCTAAATTTTAATGTTTAGGTTAAACGTTAAAATCAGTCTTGTTTCGTTTCTTTGTAGAATTGCACGTTAAACTATAATCAAAATCGTTATTTGTTCTCATTGTTTAGTGTTTAGAGGTAGATACGAGTTTTTGTACTTTACATTATTTGTTTCACAACAAAACAATGAAAACGATATTTACATGTTATAATTTATCATATGGCAACCCTGTTTTTGTTTTCATTTGTTATAGGTTAGGTATAGAATCGGCGCCATCTTGAAAATAAATGTAGATGGCGCGCGTGTATTTGGCTACGTTTTTCGTTAGATAAAAAAATATATCCGTCAAGAGAATATAGAGTGTATATCAGTGTAGGCTTAGAATTTCGAGGTTAGAAAGTATCGTATTTACAATTGTTTCATATACAGAGTGTCACACAATACAAAAATATCTAATAAATTGATTATTATGCAATTATGCAACACTCTGTATAATATATCATCTTAACGTTATTGTATTGTACTTAAGTATAATATAATCCACTTATATCCATATTAAATGCAATAAATTATGTTTTTTCTTTAAATCTGCTTATGTTGTTATTATTATTGAAGTAATTAATGAATAATTACATCAATAGGTGTAAAACTGTTCCCCACGTATGCTTAGATGCTTAAAATTGTACTTGAATTCATTGTAATTAATAATTAATTAGTTATAATTTATAACAATTACCAATTAGTTTAAATTTATACAATTTTATGTACAAAATGTTTAGATTTGATCCAACATGGCGCACATGCAATGAAAATAGTATATGTAACCTAATATAACCTCAAAACTTGTTTGAAATTATAATTTTCACACAAAACTTTTGATTTTTGATTTGAATAGTGAGTATTTCAACCCGTTTTTATTCAATATCAAAAATTAAAACAAGTAAAGTGTAAACGAGGTGTTATTGTGTATTCACAAACAAAGAAACCCTTTTTGAATAAAATAGAGAAAGGGTGTTAGTAAGGTATCACTTGCAACAAGAAATTTTCAATATAAAAAGACGTTGTGCAAGTGGATTGACTTACAACAACTTTTCTTGATCATAGGGTTGTGGAGAAACAAAAAAAACGGTTTTTTATAAATAAAAATAAAAATATATTTTTTTGCAAGTCATTTGCGAATATAATCTATAACAAAAAAAGAATTACTACCCATGTTTTCTGTGCGAAGCGGAGGCGAGATCAACACGGTGCACATGTGCCCTTCCGCCCTTTATTCAGTTTTCTCAGTCGGTCTCACCTCAGCCAATCTTCAAATTTTTTTCGCGCGCGCGCCTGCAGATAAATCTATATAATATAACACAATGGTAACCCTAACCTACTAACCTACACGCGGCGTGTTTTTTTTTTCGCAAATTCAATAGAAAATCAAAAAAACATCCAACGGTATCGAAAGGTCCAAAGTATCATCTTACTGTATATGCATTTCGATACCGTTACACGTGGTGGTGATGTTGAGACACGCCATGCCATTTTTTTCCGCCATTTTGAAAATTTACAAAAATACATAACAAAACTTATTTACAACTATACAACTATCTTCACACCGGTGTGGCAATCATCCATCATCAATAACGTCAAAAACACAAGAAATAATATTTAGTTTACTAAATTTATATATCAAGAGAGAAAGAGAGAGAGAGAGAGAAATACTACGCAATGTAATGAGGAACTTGTATACCTGACTGTACAATGTACAATAATCATTATTCGTTAAACTTATAGCGTAAATGTGTGAACAAGTCAAAAATATCAAATCATAACATAACTATTATAGTTTGGTAGATAATGGTAACTTAATTAATCATAGCCCTCAATGGAATGGCTTAAATTTAATGTTTTGGTCAATATATATCTATGACTATTACCCGTAAGTGTATTGTAATCTATTGGACTAGGACATGATGCCTTTGTCTTTGTTGTGTTGATGGAGGTGGAGAAGCAACATCCACATCAATATCAAACTCTTCAGAGGGTTCATCAGGGTCATCCCGACTTGCAGGTGACCTTGACATGGGACTCTCCCCACTGGAATGGGAATGCATCCCGGTACTCATGGACAGATCCTCGGGTTCTGTCTGTTCAGGGATATGCTGCATTGGATATCCTATGGGTTCCAACTTGGGAACTCTTGAATTGATCATCATGTTGACATTCATCATCAATGGACTGCTGCGTTCTTCTTCTGATTCAGATTCGTGTTTGGGTTGGACCATTGTGGGACTAGTGGGACTAGCTCCGCATTTGTGGTGTAAGAGGTGATGCCTTCTACGGAAACGACTTTGACAACGTTCACAAGCGAAGGGTTTTTCATTAGTGTGGATTAAGACATGCGCTTTGAGTTGATTGGAGTCTGAGAATTTCGCTTGGCAGAATTCACAAGCATAGGGTCTTTCTCCAGTGTGGACACGGAGATGTCTCCTAAGGTTAGCAACCTGTACGAATTGTCTATCACAATGTTCGCAGTGATATGGCCTTTCACCTGTGTGCAACCTCATGTGGGTCTTGAGATGATGATCCCTGGTGAACCTCTTATGGCATTGTGGACATTCAAAGGGTTTTTCACCTGTATGCGTACGTTCATGGTTCTGTAACACATGTTTATACCCAAAACTCCTGTTGCACACTCCACATGTGAATTGTTTATCCCTTGTCCCGGTGGTATCCTTAGTAATACTACCAGTTTCCGATGGTGGGCTGGAACTCGACGTGGGTGATGGTGATGAAATGGGTACTTCATCATGTAAAATCGTCGGGGTGTTCAGAGGTGTAGTAACACATTGTTTCTTCGTTTTGCGTTTGCCTTGCTTCTCGTGGCTGGACGAGGTGACAACGTTGTTGTTATTATTGGTTTTGCGGGTTTTTAACGCTGGTGAGAGTTGTTCGTTGGAGGTGGGTGGTGAGGGAGGTGAGTTTGCCGGCCAGCCGGCGGCGAAGAGACCCGGATGGAAGAAGGCTGGATTCGGGGGGAGGGCAAGACCGCTGGCGGCGAGCATTTGTGACGCCATCAGGAGCTGGGACGGAGTAAACATTGCCGTGTTGCCAAAGTTCGGGAATGACATCGAGGACAGTGGGCTGATCATTGTCGATTCTTCATCGGGCATTTCTCTACCTAAGAGATCTGTAAGTAAATAAGAAAACACAAATGTATAGCCTTGAGTTATATTTGAATAGAATCAGTTTGTAATTGCTTTTGATCAATTCACGCTTGGATGAAACTTGTATTTTTTGTATGTTTACGTCGGAGAATAAAAATAGATATAGATGACATTATTGTTAGTTGTAGATAGGTAGGTAAGGAAAATGTTGCGTTTTTGTGTTTGCTTGGGTTGGGAAATACGTAGATGATACGCCATTGCCACCCCTTTGCGTCATTATCCCTTTCTGCGCCTGGTTCGCGGATCGCTAACGAACGAGCGGCGTACGCGGCGAATGCGCCATCATTGGACGATTCGCCGCCTCCACATCCGCACCAATCTTAACCCTCAAATTAGAAAATAATTCTAGTTTGTAAAATTAGTATAGAAAATTGTAAAACTTGTAAAAATTTATAAAACTTGCAGAAAATAGAATTTTGCCAAAAATTTTGTTTCATTTTTTAGTTTTATTAAAAAAATATTTAACAATTAGTCAAAATCTCATGTAAAAAATTTATTTATAACAGTAATAAATGAATTGACCCAAAAATTTTCTTGAAATTTAGTCAAATTTGCCAAAAAAATGATTTTTGTAAAATAAAGTAAGAATTTTCTCGATTTTCCTAAGTTTTATTGAGAAAATATGGTAAAAATTACTCAAAATCACATTTAAAAAATTGTTTTTTTAATAAAAATTCATAAATAATTAAATAATTATTTAAAAAATAAGTTTTTCTTTAATATCTTCTAAGAAATTATCCATTTTCTCATATAAATAACAAGAAAAACTAAAAAATATAAACAAATTTATCACAAAATTTCATTTTTTCCTATTTTACAATCAATAAAAATATATAAAAATGTTAAATTGTATTTTAAATAAATCTAAATATAAAAAAGTGAATGTGTGATATAATACTAAACGATTTAAGCGTGAATTGATCGTTAATTACGTGTTAATCGTCATTTCCCATGCGTCCCGTCACATTCTAATTGTCGAGCACCGATAAGCCGACAACACGACATTAACCGCTAACGATAGTGATAGTGTGACAATGATAACAATATAATTACCTCGCTTCGGCGTAGCTTCTTGTAAGAGCGGCATCGTCGTCACCATTAATCAACAAACAAACACAAACTGTTTAAAATATTCAAATATTTCACTTTATACACTTCTACAGTTTTTCTCTAGTATTATCCTCGTTGTATAATATAACACATATACTTAAATAATAATAATTTACTCCAAATTTGCGTCAAGTTAGAAAATCGTACTCGGCTCTCGTGTGTGTAGTGCGATCGTGAGTGTCTCCGTGGGCGCGTGCGGCACACATGAGAAGCGAGAGCTTACTGAAGTTGGAAAGCTCACGCACGTCGGGACTTAACCTAGGGCAACGTCGAACAACACGCACCTCCACACGCAACAACCCCCACCAATATTCCACAATTGATCGCGTATCCCTCTCACACTTCAAACCCAAACAGTCAGTAGAAAAAGACGTCGAGTGGAAGTACGAAGTAAGCACTAAGGGTTGCTTGGGATTGGATGTATGCATAAACCAAGGAGAAAGATAAAGACAGGAAGAGACAGAGACTGACAGAGTGGAGTCTACCGAGGGTGATTTGTGCAGGGGTGCGTGCGCCTTCATCAGTTGTGGGAGGGAGACGACCCAGGCCGACGGTTTCGCAACTTCACGTAAAATGAAATAAAATTAAGAATTAAAGCGTAAATAACAAAATCTTTGCGAAAATTTCACCGCTAGATGGCGCTGCAAACCAAATTCAGACAAAAATAAAAACTTTTGGTTTTTTTTATTAAAAACTCTTATTTTTTACCTGTAAGATGATTCAACGGGTTAACGGATGTAAATTGTTGAAATACCGCTTAATCTGATAATGATTACTTATAGATAACTCAAGTAATTCACAAAAATTGAACCCGTTTCCGTTTTAATTCGTTTTGCACTTGAGATTATTCTATATTTAAACGTATTGTAACAGTTTATAAATAAATCCCATTAATTTAAAAGTCGTTGCGTAATTGTTTGGTTTTAATTACATTCTGACTAGTTTTTGACTACTTTGAGACCCGGACCTATAACAATGTATCACTTTTATCAATACAATTTGTTTAATGCCCGTCTACGCAACGTCCAAACGTTTATTTACCAAACAGCAATTATTTTGTTATTATTATTGCATTATCGACGGCTAGACACAACGAAAACCTCAAAAATCAACGTTCACCACAATCACATTTCGATTTCGATTGTTAATTAAAAATTGGAATTTCTGATAATGATAATGATAATTTTATTTTATTTTTTACGTGGATGTCGAATACTATACTTTATTTCACTGGAAAGATAATTAGGAAGCTGTTGAAGTAATTTTGATGAATCTGATCAAGTGTACTTTTACTCGTACATCAAAGGTGTGCATCGTTTGATGTTTGATGAAATATTTCCTTCTTATATTCGTATATTCTAATATTTTTACGGCTTCACAGTTCTACGAGAAAAAATTATAAAAATTTTTTTTTTTTTTTTTTTTTGATTTCCATTCAAAGTGTGAATGAAGCAACATGTCGCCGTCATGTCCAGCGTGTCGTTCGTCTGATTCTCTGATTTTCCGGTTTTCCGGTTTGCGCTTGAAAGCCTTTTCAGACATTTTCGGCACCGGCGCTTTGTGTTTGCCTACATGCTATAAACGAATCGATTAAAAATATCTCGAGTTTTTGGTCAGGCGAAATTTAGTTTTACGTTTTTTATATCAAAAGTGACGAAGGGTGCAATATGTGTGCGAATGTCATGCCCTCAATGTTGGTAGGGGGCGCGTTTTGCGGGGATCTCGAGTACCAGCGAGCGAAAAAAATAAACCGGCGCTTTGTCAACGCATAAACGACACAAAATAGACTTCGCATTCACCGATTTGCGGACATAACATAATTTATTGATTTTTTTTCTTTCAAATAAAAATTTTGAACTAAAACGGATGTAACAAGTAAAATAAGATAAGAAAATAAAATTATCTTTTATATTTTGTGTGTTTGTGTGAGTGTTATCATTATTTCCCTAAATTTCCGCCCACCAAAGTGTTACCAAAACAAACAACAACAAATGAAGTTAAACACAAGTCACACTCGTGGGCTTTGTACTTATTTGCATTGCATCACAAGTTTACAGCATGCAGAATCATAGATAACCAAGCGCTAGAGTCAAAAGACTCGAAAGAAATGTTTGTGAGATTGCAGCCATGACCTAAACCAACTTTTCAGTCACAGTGCGAACAAATATAGATAACGCTTATCTAAACACCCTTATCAAGCCACACACATTCTATACGAAATTCATAGAATTTTACTGAGAGAAACATGTTTTATTTTACTTAATTCAGCTGTTTTGAACGTTTTCGGGGGTTTGACACAGGGGTAGTTTTTTTACTACATTGTCAAAAAATACTCCAAAAATCTGTAAAACGCGTGCGACGACTACAAAGCGTGTATGCCACGAGCTGCGCTTCACCACGAGGGTATTTTTTATTTTTGAGTTTTTTGCGTTGAAAAAATCATGCCAGCACGCTTTCAGTCACCAGGTGCGCAAGGAAACTAGCTACAAGTCTACCAAGCACCAAAGCGGAAAACTACATTGATGGTATCAACAAATTTTGCAACAAATTCATTTTATGACTTTAATCTTGTTAAATTTCACTTATTATCGAATTTTATAATTTCAACCCTTAAATCTACCTGTGTGTTAACTCTCACTTTTCCACAGTTTACATGAAAGAGGTAAATAGTAGGTAGGTGTGTGAATGAACCCTTTACAACCCTTGAAGCAGGCGGGGAATTTGTGGAATATTTGCGAACGCGATGTGCGGCGACAATAAAAGCAATTTTACAATGTTGATACTCGCGTTTAACGAGTTTCTAAAGGGATTACTTATGGCGGCGCGTTTTTGGTCATTCGTACCGAAATTGGATTAAACTGCGGGTGATCAAACTCCAAAGCCCGAAGAGCCGACAGTTAAATTATTCAAATCGAAAATAAAATCGAAAGTGAACTAGTCGCCAATTTTATTTTAGGGCCTTCTCAGAAGGACTCTTGCACTACAAAATGTGCAATAGAATTTAATTGTTACGCAACTATTGTAAAAATTTAAAGAAATGCAGTAAGACACGATGATGCATCAAAAAGTTTTGAATTTTGAGTGTTTCGAGGGTGGGAAGTTATAGAAAACTTTAGAAAAGAGAAGTGAAAGTATAAGTTGACATTGAAAATTCAAAAGTTGTCATTCTGATGATGAATGATGTGATATTGTGGAAATAAAATCAATTTTAACGATTTGTATCGTCATGGACTGTAAAACAACGCCATCTGTAGGTTTAAAATTTAAAAAAAAATGTTTTTCAACGCCCAATGTCCAAAAATTATTATTGAGTCTACAAAAGACGTTATTCTCATTGAATAGGGGATGAATTGCCACGTGAATGCAAAAAAAATTCGCAACTGTCCGGTTTAGATTATTTTTTCGCAAAAATGTTTGGCATGTGCCGCAAAGGTCTTACTTCACCAAAAAAACGAAAAATAATCGCTTTGTGTTTGTGTGGGGATGAAAATTTGACAAAGAATGCTTTTTAATAAGATCATCGTTTGAAGTGGCATCAAACAAATAATATTTTAAGCAAATAAATAATAAAAATAAATTTTTCTCAAAAAATCTAAAAAAAATTAAATTTTTGCGGGTGTGATTCCAACCGTCAACCCTCATGAATCATGTTATGCAATACGCAAAAAACAACCCTTAAAAATGCAGGTAAAAGTTGTTGTTGATGATTGGGACTTCTGTTTTGCCGCCAGCACATAAATTTTCCAACGAGAATTAACGAAATTAATACCGTACAATGGAAACCAACTGACCACTCGACGGGCATCCACTTCTACCCTCTTAAAAAGTTCGCAACTTGATGCTTTATGCCCTTTTCAGAGAATAAACAGAATGGACACAAAAAAATAATTAATAGTTTCGGTTTGATGGTTGATAATCGGCACCCTTCCTAGAAAAAGGTTAAAAACACCGCAAAAAATAAATTTTCACTCTTTCAAAGAATTTTCATCACATAACCTATTTTTAGCGCCATTAAAACAAAAATTTAATATTTTTCTTGTTTTTGTTATTTTTTGTAAAAATATTTTATGTAAAACCTTTGCAAAACATGCTTTGTACGTGTACTTACATCAGGGATACACTTTTAATACATTCTTATCGAACGCAAAGCCTAGGGGTTGTTTTTTCTTTATTTTTTTTTCTGCGGACGGTTTTTTTCAATGACCAACGTCCACTGGAGCTCAAAGACAAGCTGCAGCTTGAAAGTAAGGTAGTAGGCTTAAGCGATCTATCGACTACCGACTACCCTTAAGATGAAATAAAAAAAAGCGCGCGCGTGTGCCGCGCACAATGGAAAATATTTTGAATCGAATCGAAGGGCGGCACATTTTTAGATGATCAAAATTCGTCAAATCCGCATGGCGGTCGAGGGTTGTGCAAGGTGGGCATATCAAAAGAAATGTTACAAACAATCCGATCAAAAATTGATCCGGAAAAATAAAAAAATAGAAACTACCCTTAAATTTATTTAAAAATATTAATTTTATTGAAAATTAAGTAAAAATGTTGAAATTAAAGGGTGGCCATTGCACATCACCCTTATAATAAAATCTACCCCATTCTGCACCCCCTCATATGACGCACATTGCAATTTTCCCTTTTTTCCCTTAAAACTCTGTGCAGAAATTAGTCCGTACAAAAGCAAGGGATGAATATGCTCAAATTCACCCCTTGGATAAAACAAAACCCATCACAACTACGAATAGAAGCAAAGAGAAGAGTAAAATAAAATGAAGTAAAAACTTGGATTTAGATTTAGGGGTTGTTTTAGGTATATAGCTTACTTTAGTTCGACACACCGGAAAGGGAAGTGTGTGCAGAGTGTAGAGTCCTCATCATTCAAAAAAAATCATCCATCTTTCCATACAGAGTAACCAAAACAAAATAAAACTAAAACAACCCTTATTATAATATATTTTTTGGGTTGGTGGAAACACCCTGTATAAAATTGTGTTTTTGGACACCGGCGATCGTCTATCATCAAAGCGCAAACAAATCGATGGCGGAATGACGTCCGCTCATGTCGAATGTAAACACAGCGCGCGGCGCAAACTCATGCAAACCGGAAATCAACGCGAGAAAGCTTTGCAAAGCGAACTGGAAACCGGATAAATCAGCGATCGCGTTATTTTTTGCCAAACATTTGATGAGTATGATTGACGACTTTTTAAATTTCCGGTTGTGGCAATAAAATAAAAGAATCAAAACCGGAAGTTG